AAAAAAAAAATAGTGAAAATAAAAGCTCATCTGAAATTTCCAGTTGGATAATAATATGGATATATCCACAGCCAAGTACCGCAATGACTATAGCCGTAGCGGCAGTCGCAGACAACAATGGCAACAATGACGATAATAATCAGATGATGACGATGATGATGGTAATGATGATGCTGTTGTCAACTGTAGTGGGTGACTGCCGGCCGATAGCTATTTGTCTCGACTCGTTTGACTAAACCGGAGAAACGGTCTGTCTGATGAGTCTGATGATAGCCGACCATTTCACTACCACTACCATCACTATAACATCAACTAGCACTCCATCACATCTTTTCTTACATACACACACATTACACACACGGCACTACATATTCTAGTCTCTCTTCTAAAAATCCTTTATTCTCCTCTTGTAACAGCACCTAGGGAAAAAAAGCATAACATCTTATCTTTTGCATCAGTTTTCCTCTATGATACGCATACGTACCTAATGACAATGCAAATCCCTTTTAACTTAATCTAAAAAAAAAAAAAATAACCATCAACTCCCTCAACACAACTGTATACCTACTCACCTGAACTGACAAAAATAATAACTCACTAGTACTGCTGCTATTACTGAACAGCACTGCAAATTCAGTATTGACAGTAACAATGAAATAGCAGCAGCAATAACCAATAACGATGGCGATTTAAAACGACAGCAACAATCAGAAGAACAATAGACATAATCATATAAATGATAATCATAAAAATAATAAAAATTTCACTAGCAAAAAAAAAAATAATAATGAAGACTTCGTATCTTTCCTTTCTTCTTTTTTTATCTCTCCAATAATACCTAATTCTCGTACTAATATATTTTTCTCTCCTCCTCATTTTTCTTTTTTTTGTTCAATTATTAAATTATTTTCCTATAAAATTCTTTATCTTTTCTTTCCAAACATATACTCAGTTTTCACCAAATAAAATCAGCGTTTAAGACACAAATTAAACAAAACAGAAATGAAGGAGAAAAAAAGGTTGTTAGACGAAACTAAAAATATGTATAAATAATTAATGAGCAAAAAAGTTTTACAGCTACTTCAAATAAATAATCAATTCTTTAACCCTTCTCTTCCCCGATTCTCTCCACCACAAACCTTCCTTTACTTCTTCCCCTATTCTGTCTCTACTTCTGTGTCTGCTATTCAATGATAGCGGCAATGGTCATAATAATGGATAATATTGAAACAATTAACGACTCAGTAGTAGCAGCAGCAGCACAAAAACAAAAATATAGAAGGTACAGTAGACATAAATACATTTGTTTCTAGCACAAAATATCATACATATCGTTAAAGCAATTCTATAAGACCCGTAAAGAAATAAAAAATAAAAAAAGACAAGTATTCCGACAACGCTAAAATTAACAATAGACGAAAAAATCAAAATAAACAAAAAATCACTTTGTTAACTTGAAAAAGTTTACACTATACAAAAAAAAGAAAGAAAAACAAAGGAAAAAAATAAGAATGGCTTCATACTTGTACAGTAATAACAACACATACATATACGGCTCCCTCAAAATATCGGTTCCACACCGTGTCCCCTCAGATCTTCCGCATCTTTCCTCTTTATAGCTATTTTCGTTATTCTAGCACTTTTTCCCTTTCCCTTATTATTCCTTCTTCTGGGTTTTCTTTTTTCTTATCCTTTTTTTAATTCTTATTTTCCTATAAGACAACAAACTTCTAAGAATCCTCTCCGCACGATTCGTCATAATCGTTCCAGCAAACACTAAAACAAAAATAAAAAACCAGGCTACCACAATACGAAAAAGCATATAAAAGTAAGAACTATAAAAAAAATACAACCTAAAACTACACAATCGATGGTCACTTACTAATTCTTAAACCATTTAAACCCCACCCCTTTTTTTTTCTTTACTGATATAATACCTGATTTTCTGAGTGATAAACATCTTCTTGATGCTGTTGCCATTGAACAATAGTTGCAAAAAAAAAAAATCCATTAAGTTACAAGCATCCAAAACTGACACTGAATCAATGAAATTTTGAAAGCAACAACGATGAACAAGCTGGACAAACATGCTCCAACAAAGATCCGATAGTACGTGCTCTAAACCAAAACTTCTCTGCACCACACAAAAAAAGCAGCCAGTACAAATCAGCCTAATTTTCATCGCGAAAACAAACAAACAGAACTTTCAGAAACATACTTGCAAAGAAACTTTCTGAATTTATATCACACAGTATCATTAACAACAGAAACAGTAAAGTTGCAAATCCACAATCGATTGCTCTTCATAGTCGCTATCATCATGCCAATTCGTTTAGCCACGAGCACATAATTGCATCGACTGTTAGTTATCCATTGTTTTACCGACCTATCTGTTTAATCATGCTTACCTGCCCCGTTACAGCAATAAACGCGAACAAATCAATTCAAAGTCCATTTCTTTAAAGCACATTGATCCTTTTACACTGTATATCCATGCTAGTACAAAAAAATAAAAGTGGCTTACTGTAAGTAGCCTATACATCTAAATGGTGCTTCACCTAATCGTTTCAAATGTCAACACCAATATAAGATCCTTTCTATTGTAAACACTCTGGCGTCTACCGTTTTACTGTGAAAAGGATTCTTCCATCATCTAATAACTGCTTACCCATGCCAAATCGGTCAAAAACCACTTCTCTATAACAAACGTCACTAAAGTGCTAGAAGTTAGGAAAATAAAAAAAGCCGCTTCAAACTTTTTGCATAATTTGTAACATCAATTCCGTGCTAGTTTACTATTCTCTTCCTCAAAAAAAAAGATAAATACTAGTAAAATCTTATAAGCTCAAAATTGGCATCGTGATACTTCAAAAAAATCCCATTCAACCGCTGATAATTCATCAAAAAAAAAAAAAAGAATAACTATAAACAGAATATTAATGTGAAACACCTTAATAAGCAATAAAATTACTACGTATTTCTGAAAAGAAACCCACAGCAACACACACAGAACAAAAGAGCAAAAAGAAACAAGAACAAATAATCCGTAACTATGCAATCCTTTCTATCGAAATGTACAAAAAATTTTTCAACTTAAGTTAGAAAAGGCAAACAGCCCAAGAAGTTGCTAAATGTACGGCGACCATAAGCAACAGATCGACAACTATTTATTACAGATCTTTATAAGCACTTTTATTTACAGAAAAAACATATGGTTACATTTATGTATAAACCTGTTGTGATGGCCTCCTTGGCAAATCGTCGACTAAAGAGGTGGCACTACCCATAATATCGAACTGATCTACACTGGTTGAAGGTTTATGTAAAAGCACACGAATTTGCCTCAATGATATATTGACATCGCGGAACAACTGCATCTAAATTATGAAAAAACTGAAAATTTGTTACTTGCATGGATTAAAGACCTTCAAAAAAATTATGCAAACTTCAAAGATCAACGAGACTAAAAATAATTAGTTATTGAAAATCAGAAAATATGTGAAAATTTACCTGGAAAATACCAATAATGGTTATTAAGAAACCAATTACATTGCCTAAAACGTCACTAGGACCCAGACACGACCATTCTTTGTATAATATAGAAGAAGCCAAAATCACAAAAGTTGTAAAAAAGACATAATAAATCGGCGTCACCATGGATGTATTATAGATGTCTAACGATTTATTCAAATAAACCTGTAAAAGTGATTACAAGGTTTGAAAAAATCGATTAGCCATCACACTCGTGGTTCTCCGTTATGATAAAAGAATGAAAGAAAAAAAAAGACAGAATCGAGAGCATGAACAGAATTATTCATATTGGCTTTTCAGAAACTAAAAAACGAAAATTCAATTCCAAATAATCAAGTACTACAATTTTTCCGATTCTAACGTAGCAAAATATGTGAGACAAAAGACTTTAAAGAATTTACATTCTTAGGGATATTACTGTTAGCTAAATAAAAAAAAATATAGTATAGAGTTATAAAATAATATTTACCAATTGTACAGAGACGCATCCAATCACTGCTGTGAGCCAGAACCAAGTCAAGAAGTTAGTAAACTGCTGCTTTTCAAGAATCGACTCTTTAATGGCGAGACCAAGCCCTTTCACCGAAAGCACCGAGAGAGATCCAATAATTGAACAAATGGCAATATACACTAGTATGTTCGAATGTCCATAACGTGGAGCAACATACAATATTAATAACAGAGAGACGACAATAACCGACATGACATAAAATATAAATACTGAAATTAAAGGCAGGCAGTAATAAGCTTGTTGCGAAAAGCAAAAAGTATTGAAATTTTTGCTAATGAATAGTTTTTATAAACATCATTACAAAGAATACAAATGTATATAGAAAACCAATACTACTGAAGTACCTCAACAGAAAAAATTTTTAGTTTTTAAACAAAGAAACCTGCATCCTTCATTTTTTGAGCGAGATCATCCATTGAAGAGACTTCTTCGGTTTTTGGAGAATGTATAACGATAACAGTAGATCCAAGTAAACATACAGCGCATCCTATTTTACCCAATAAATTTAATCTTTCTTTGAGCAAACGAGATGATAGCACCGCTCTAAATATTAGTTTCTTTGATGCACCTTGCTTGACATAAAATTTTTGAAATCAGACTGCTGAAAACGAAAAAACAATAGATAATAAGACTCACGTAACAAGAACACTTAAAGCTCCCAGTGGAGTAACCAAACTTGCTGGAGCAAATGCGTAAGCAGCAAAGTTACAGGCTTCACCAAGACCCACTAAAAACTAATAGTAAACGCAAAATTTTTGCAAATAAACATTTTCAATGAAGAACTGGAAGAACTAACAAATAAATACTATTCTCTCCCCAGTGATCAACGGCTTACTGTATTATGCGTTATATAACTTTGTTCTTTCTAGAGAATGTTACAGATAAAAAAGTAGATACCCACGAATGCAATCTATTGTGTTAACCAAATATAATTAGCATGTAAAATTATAAATAGTAGAGGTTTCAACTTTGAATTAAGCATGTAAATAACAATAAAAATCCGGTCCTATGATTAAAACATTTGATAAACAAAGCAACAAGAAAAATAAATTATTATCAGTTTAGTAAACAATTCTAAAAAATTTAAAAAAAAAAAAAACAAAACAAAACAAAACAAACAAACTTGTTATGACGCCTAACCACCAAATCCATTCTTTGAGATAACCAAAACCACCTTCAGAAGCACGTTGTGAACAATCTGCATTCTGTGCAAGTTTAATTAAAGCCTTCTTTTTTATTATAAATGAACTACCAATAAATAATGATGATGATACCGCAAGACCTAGACCAATGTAGAAATCAAGTAACGATGTACCCGTTACCGATGATGACACAGATGTTTTCCCAACAGTACTTTCATCCATCCTGAAAAAAAAAAGTAGTAATAAAAATAATAATTTCATATAACAATTTTCAACAAGAAAATTTTCAATTATAAAATAAATTTGTTATTAAATGAGGCAAAAAGAAAATGTAATCAAAAATAAACAAAAGTATAAAAAAAAAAAGAATTTTTTCTGTCCAGTATCATGCAATATAGCCAAAAAAACAAACATATTACATTTCCCTATTGCCGCTTCAAAATGATTCATTAATATTTCAAACGTAATTTTTGATTTTCTATAAACTTCGCCAACTACCGCTACTATTACTACTACTATTGCCAATATGACTTCTAGTCTTATCAAAAAAACAACAATGCTACACTGAAAATTGCTGCTCTTTCAAAAACAACAATAATAAACAAGAAAAAAAAAACAATAAAAATGGTATTAAATAAGTAAAATAAAAAAAAAATTCTGAAAATAAAAAAAAGGCAATAACGTTTTGTTTTTTTTTTCTTCGTCTTCTAACATTACATAGGCTTCAAACGATTAGCCAACAAGACGACAACAATGGTAACACCAGTAACAACAACACTACTAACTGCAGATGACTGGCCATCCACCAATACACATCTCAATTCTACCATCTATCACAAAAACCCATTTCTATCCATCACTTAGCACACACACTAACACATCACCATATAAAGCAGTGAAATTCATAAATAGAAGAACAGAGGAAAAAATGAGAGAAGAAAAAAAAAAGGCAGCTAATTTGAACGAAATAGGAATTTACAAATTTTTCA